GTAATTAATTGCAAACCAGTCATACCATAAATAAATGATGGTAAAATTTAAGCAATTGCATTAAACTTATATAACAAGCGCCATGATTTCTATGGAAATATTCAGTATTCACTGATAAAGCAGGCAGTTCTAGGTTGAAGTTTATAAAATCTTTCTACAAAAACAACTTTTTCTGGAAAATAAGTTTCACAAGTCCACAGTTAACTTTTTTTTTTTAGTATTGATCTGGGCTACTTTCTTGACCTTTTGTTCAAAGTATCAAACTTTCCTGACCTTTTGTTCAAAGGACTGTGCAATGTCAACATCTTTATAATGTCTCTTCTATCTTTGAGTTACATGTGCAACCAATTTTATTTGTTGCTGTTGTTTAAAATCCTCAAGTCATGTGATTTCTGTTATTTGGTACATTTCTCAGTGATTCTGTAGCGCCAGTACACAAGGTCCGATAAAGGATGGTCCTCTCTAAAACCTACATGTTTTAGTCACATGAATCAATTCTCTTTATGCTTTCCATGTTAGTTGTTGCTACTGTTGAAAGTCCTCAAGTGATGTGGTTTCTGTTATCTGTTAGAGTTCTTTGTGATTCAGTCAGTCCATGTAGTCCAAAGAAGGATAGTGCACAACATCAATATTTTATGTCATTATTTTCTTTTTGAATTTCATTTGCTATTCATTTTAGTTGTTTGCTGTTGAAAGTCCTCATGTTATGTGATTTGTTTGATAAAGTTCTTTATTTGTAATTATGTAGCACCTCTTGATGAGGTTCAAAGGATGGTCCTCACTAAGACCTACAGGCTTCATTCACTCAAAGTCATTTTTAATCATTAATATTAATGAAAAAATCATATGACAACATTAAATAATTATCAGCATAAAATCCAGGAGTAATGATAAAGATTAAAATAAAAAATCTGGTATTATTTCAGGTATCTAAAAATATCTGGGATTTTCTGCAAGTTTATAAAAAATCTGGTATTAATTAAAAGTTTCTACCTATAACCCACTAATGTCTACTGTCCTTAAAATAGGATGGTGAAAATTAATGGGTTTAGTATAAATTATATCTGAAGAGATATTTCAATAAGTCTGGTACAAAGTCTGATTTATGGAGAAATAAATTCATTTTTACACTTCAGCAAATGCTTTTGGTGAAGTGAGAGTTGTTTAGAGAATTTTTCTTCCATCATTATTATCATTAATTTTAATGAGTACTTTTCTTTCATCTTAATTTTTGTTGCTTTTTATGTCATCATCTTTGGATTGTTAGTTTCATAATAACAAATAATAAAAGGCAAGTTCCTAGTGGGGCTTACAATAGTGTTTATTTGGCCTTGGGGAAGAGCCTGATCAATTATACCAGCTGTTCTTACCATTTGAGCTACAAGGAACTTTACAGTTAGAAGAAGATCTAGTCTGTTCATTCCAATCTACTGGGGGAATTATTGCAAAACATATTCCTCTCCCTAATTTATAGGCAGAAGCACACAAATGCATGCTGGGATTTCTTCCTAGCCAATAAAATAGGACATTTCTCAGTTTCATCTGACTCGGTTCCAGTCTGTCTTGTCTTCATGCCAGAACACTACATGTACTTGTCCAAACTTTCTCTTATGTGTTAATACCAATTCTGTTTTGTGAACTTTTTGCCATATTACTGTTGCTTTGCCTTATTACTGTTTAATTTGTCTTGCATACATTGCTTTTTTTTTTTTTTACAGTCAGAGTCACCTTTTACAAGGCTCAGGGGCCACTTGAGGTAGAGGGTTACATTAGGTGGCCATTTGTGTGCATCGGTGATGGAGATAATGATTAACCCTAGTCCTGAATAGCTTAAGATTGTAGTGATCAAGGAAACATCCTCTTGGGAGTCGATTCCAGAGGGCAGTGATTTGTAGGAAGAAGCTGCCTGATTGAAACTTACTTCTCACTAGTGGAATACAGAGGGAATGCGAGTGCCTTGCTACTATATAAGTGTCATGGCATGTTCTTATCTTGGCAGGGGCAAGAAATGTACTTTGTCCGAGCACTTTCTATGGAAGTAATGGTAGAGCAGTGAGAGGTTTTCCAAATCCTACCCATAGAAGAGGAGTTGAAGGGTGGAGAATAATCTGTCACTCACAAGGGCTCAAAGATACTTTTGAACTCTATCAAAGCTGGAGAGTAAGGTCTTGGCATCTCCTGTCCAAATTCCATTTTTGGCCTCATCTGGATCTTGTAAAGGTAGAGGATAACAGGAGGAGTCAGTTACTTACTTGAGCAGTACAAGGTGCTGACTATTTTACCTGCATTCTTAGCAATGAGTTCCACTTGAGGTCAGGAGTAAGTTTGAGGCCAAACAGTCTTTCAAGGCACAATGCTTCCCCAAGAGGAACTCTATTCATCTTGACTGGTGGTAGTTCAGGATCAGATTAGTGATAATAGAATGTAACTAGCTTAGTCTTCAAGCCATTGAATGTAACCAGTTTTTATCCCATTGGGTACTTTTTACAAGATCATAAGAGAGATTCACTAATCTCTAGCCTTTGAGTTACTTTATTTATTTGCCCTGTTCTTTTCTTTTCCTTGTTATTGATTATTGAAAACTTTGCCAATTTTGTTTGTTAGACAATTCAGCCATTTATTTTACATTTAACCATGACCACTCTATAAATAATCTGATTTTATAAACCACACCTTTATTCATTTGATACCTGCAGTATTAGTCATGATAATATTATCATTTTTTTTTAAATTTTTAGATGAAGCATTGACAACTATTACTATAAATTTGTTAGGACTTTGACTATTATACTGGATAGCAAGTCCTGCTGGAAAAATATCTGCAGAAATCTAACATTTAAGGATTAATTGTTAATTCTTTCTTGAAAATTAATTATGATAATTTATTGATTTATGAAGTCCTTTCTTCTTTTTTTGTTTTACATCTTTTCATAATATATGGAAATAAATTAATTCGAAAAATTTGCAATAGAAGATTAAAAAAATAACGACGACATTGCACTGAAAATCTTTTGATAATTGCCCGTCAGGTTTCTGTGATCATCTGGCACAAGTGAAGTCAATTAAGGGAGTTTAGATGTTTGTCTTGTATAGCTAACATGAGCATCATCAAATCATTTTGAGGCACAAGAAGACTTTGGAAAGGGTTGTCATAGAAAACCAAATACCCTTTTACAGCTAACACGAGATTTAATCTAAACATTCGTTCTTCTTACACCTGTGGGTGTTAGTAGCAACAATGTTATCTTTTTTTTATTTTTAGATCAAGCATTGACATCTATTCTTATAAGTCTGTCATCACTTTGAATACTGTGTAGCCATTGCTACTGGACAAATGTCTGCAGAAGTCTGATATTTAAGGATTCTTTGTTAATCCTTTCTTGAGAATTAATTACGATAATTTATTGATTTATGAAGTTTTAAATTTTTCTTTCTTCTTTCTTTATGTCTTTTGGCAAATATATTTGAAAATAGATTCGTTCCAAAAGTTGACGACATCATTTGTTCGTTAAAGAGAAATCAATTACCACAAATTGAGGTAATTTATGACGGCCAAAGAATTCTTGGTCGAAGCAAAGGGAAATGGAAATTATCAAAATTGCCAGAAAATTCTTTCTGCAAAAATGAAGCATTTAAAATGCTTTATTGTTTTGTCATGATTAATGTCCTTCTGTTGAATCTGAATATTAGAATTTCATCTGCAGTATCAAAGTAGTAATATTCGTAATGAAAGGTTTTGGTAATTTCTTCTAAAGAAGATAAAATGCGTGTGTTGTAGCTCATTTGGTAGTGACATTTTTTTTTTTTAATTTTTTGTTGATCATCTTTCATTAAAAGTTTCTTGTGAACAGGCATCTAGAACTCAAAATTTGGATCTAGAAAATCTATGGATTGTACACTTGACTAAGGTTAAAAATGAAATAGTCAAAATATTATGTTTTATATCCAAAACACCACAAAAAGAATGAATTTTCTCAAACTTACACTGAAAACTTCCATATGTATGGCACTGAAATCATTGAGAAATATCTAGATTGTCTGGTATACAACTGCTTTCTTAGATTAATGCTTGATTGAGCAAAGCATATAGGTCTTAGCACTAACCATCCTTCTTCATACCTCATTGGCTTGTGTTACAGAATCAAACATTTCCTGTTCGCATCACTTGAGGGCTTTCAACAGCAGCAATAAAAAAATAGACATGTAACTTGAAGAGAGAATAATGGTATATGTTGATCTTCCACACAACTTTAAACAAAAGATTAAGAAGGAAACCCCCATCAGTACAGGAAAAAACAATAACAAATAGTGAACTTGAAAAACATATTTTCTTGAAAAATTGTTTATACAAAGTTTTTTAGAAATTTCAACTGAAACAAGTACTGGCTGCTTGATTGCTTAATGCCAAATGTTTTCTTCTAAAGAAATGGGCACAAAAGAAACTTAGTAAATCCTTTTTGATATTGGTTATTCCAAACCTGCAACTGAACCAATGTTTGGGTAAAATATCAAAAACAAAAATGTGTTCAAATTGACAAGAGTTCTCTTTGGAAAGTCACACAACTGTTTGTAATTCTGACTGTGTCAGCATCAGAAGAAGTAATAAAGGAACCAGGTAAAAGACATTGTGGATCCTTGAATTTTTTGGTGGGGAAATCTTAAGAAATCAAATACATCCAGAATGTTTCTGAGAAGAGCAAATTTTGCCAACTTTCTCAATGTCATGCTCATTCCAGATTTACAGAATATGAACATTGTAAGCACAAGTAACCATTTTTGTTTATATCTCATCATAAATAAGTGTCATAGAATCAGGGGAAGTGGCACCATTTTTGTTTTGATGCAAGTATTAGAAGACAATGCTGGTTTTATGGCTGGAGGGATATTTACAAATACATTTGGCAAGGCAGGAAGGAAAAAATACAAGTTTGTTAGAAGAAAAGCTAAAGCCCTAAGTAAGAACATTTCTTGCAGTTATTGTCCAATTAGAAATCATGCTTAAAACACGTTCTCATTTGATCCCCAAAGTTAAGCAGCATAAAGCCTGGTCAGTATTTTGATGGGGGTTTGCTTGGGAACACCAGGTTCTGTAAGCAAATTCCTATAATACAAAATAGGTTTGGGCCTGAAATAATACACAAAGGGTTGATAAGATGTAAGGAAACAAATCAATGTTCAAGCTAGGGCTATTTCTCTATAAAATTTCTTCTTCATTTAGGTGTTGCATCCCTTCAGGATGTTAGCAATCATGGCTCTTGACAATTTCCGGTTCTTTGTAGCTCTTAATAAATTTTGTCTTTTTGTTATCTCCCCTAAAACATGTTCCGCTATCTATTTACTCAAGCTTGCTAGGTAGGTTATGCATCATTTTCCTCTGTCCCTCCCACCATTAATCTGTCCTGTGAGTATTAAATACCTTAGGTATTTTGTCATCCCTCATCTTCTCACTCTCTCTCTCTCTCTCTCTATATATATATATATATATAATATTGAGCCGAAGTGTGCCTCTACCAGTTTGGCCATGGAAAGCAGACGGCCATGACAAAATTAGAATAACCTATCTAAGGAAAACATGTTTTTCTTGTTTGGACCTCTATGAATCTATATCTGCTTAGCTTGAATTGGGTACAAAATTGAACCAGAGACCTTAAAACCAAAGTTTATTTCACAAACCAAAAGGGCTGCTTAATTGAATTGATTTTACTTTTCTTTCAGCATTTAATATTTCGCCCTTTAAAAATGTTTTGCAAAAGAATTTCATGGCTTTAAGTTTTGCCTGTCTCATTAGAATTTCTTTTTTATTAATTTCCTTTGTACATTAATTTGCCCGATTTACCTATCATCGTTCATCAGTTTCCTAAATTAACCTTTGCAGATTATTTAATTCTTCTAGAGTTGGGTTTCTTTCCACTGTATTAACAATTTTTCACACAATACAATTTGCCTGAATGGAAAAAGGGGAAAAAGAAGTTCAGAGCCCAAATTCAGGATGAATAAAACATAAAATTTAAATTGCAATTCAAGCTGAAAATAATCTCCCTGTTCTTTGGGCATGTTTCTCAAATTCATTTCTATAAGGCACATTGGATCTTTTGTTTTTTTTTTTAAACTTGTCTTAGCTAACATCTGCAGGTGTTTGTAATAATTAGATGCTTCTAACACCAAATGAAGTCATATAAGTTGAATAATGAGGAACTGTCATGTAAATGCATCCTTTGCTCATAAATGCACAAAATTAGCAGTTAACATTGTATTATTCTGCTGTCTGTAGTAATCTAGTTGCATAATATCCATGATAAAAATGAGGTTTGGAAGAAAACTATCAGGCCAAAAGAATGTCTATATTTCTTTTTTTTTCCTAAATTAATTAATTTGGCTTTGATTAAAAAAATCTCCTGAACACTAGTAGATTCTGGTGTACTTTGGTGTACTCTTATTGGCCAAACACTAGTAGATTCTGGTGTACTCTTATTAGCTGATCACTAATAGATTCAAGTGTATTCTCATCTGCCAAACACTAGTAGATTTTGGTGTACTCTCATCTCTAAGTCAAAAAGTAGATTTTGTATTTTCTAATATTTTCACTTCTCACTAATTCAGTTTTCACAACCGCTAACTCTGGGGTATAGTGCCACAGCCTTACCGCTACTAGGCATTGCTGCTGTGGTTTCCACAGTAACTAGTTTTTTATAACTTGTTTGGAATTAAGACTTTTCCTTTTCCTAGACTAGTTGCCAATCAAAGCTGAAGATCTGGGGGTGGAGAAGAGCTTGATTCAAAGTTTTTCCAAGAATTGTACCAGATGACAGAAACCACATCACACGAGGACTTTCAACAGTGGCAACACCGAAAATGGATAGCACATGGAACTTGAAGAGAAAATAATGATATAATCAAGATGTTAATTTTCCTCGTGACTTAAAAATGTTTATTTCAAATATTTAGTGTGTAATCTTTCATCAGTTCCCATGCATTAGTAGTAGTAACAGCAAAAACAGCTTAAAAACAATATTAAATGCCCTGACACTACACAATCATGGCTTATGACCATGAAGCTGTTAATATGCACTTGGCAAATTAAAATGAACTACTGTATATTTCCCCACTCACAATTGTGATAGAGTTCTGTTATATTAATTTATATCTTTTTTCATTGCCTCTACAATTTTTGGCAATATTGGCATCATTCTCTCAAAGATCACTTATGAGAAAATTGAACATAAAATAGACTGCACTAGAAGTAGTTTTGCCCAACACCACAAGTTTCTATCAGGTCATCCCATAAGTTCTCTCCGAATTTTAACTTTTTGTTAAAATGAACAAAATTTAAAGAGTATTTTATAATGTCTAATTCATTTCAGAGAACAATAAAATTAAATTTTGTTTGATTAAAACCCTGCTAACATGGAAGTACCCAAGAATCATTTGAGGCACATAATGCTTTATGAGTTCAAGAAAGGAAACTCAGCAGCTGAAGCAGCTAGAAACATTCACTCAGTTTATGGAGAGGAATGTGTGAATGAAAGAACTTGCAGAAGATGGTTTGCAAAATTCAGAGGTGGAGATTCACCCTTGAAGATGAAGATTGAACCGTACATCCAGGAGTTTGATGAAAAGCTTCTTGAAGCAGCCCTTGAAGAAAATCCTGCTTTATCAGTTGAGGAATTGGCAGTGGTTCTCAATTCAAACCATACAACTGTTCATTGTCATCTTCAGCAACTTGGAAAAGTTCCTAAACTTGGAAAATGAGTGTCTCATGAATTGTCTGAAAACAACCTCAAATCCCAAGTTGACATCTGCTCTTCTCTCCATTCTTGCCAACTTGTTTCACCTTTTTTGGATAGACTTGTAACTGGTAACAAAAAATGGATCTTTTATCAAAATGTTAAGTGTTGTAGACAGTGGCTTGGTAAAGGGGAAGGACCCCAGCCAAGAAGGGAACTTCGTGGGCAAAAGGTTCTTCTTTCAATCTGGTGGGATCGCCAAGGAATAATCCACTTTGAATTCTTACCACTTAATGCAACAATTAATGCTCAAATATACTGTCAGCAATTAGAGCATTTGAACCAAGCTTTGAGGAAAAAAAGACATGCTCTAGTGAATTGAAAAGAGGTGATGTTTCATCAGGACAATGCGTGACCCCAGATGGCAAGAATCACGTCACAAAAGATCGAAGAACTTGGTTGGGAGAAAATTCCTCATCCACCTTATTCTCCCGATCTTGCTCCTTCAGACTACCATTTGTTTCGTAGCATACAGAATCATTTGGAAGAAACAGCTTTTGTAACACAGGAAGAGGTTAAAACTGACATTTGTGAGTTGTTCGAATCAAAGCCAAAAGAATTTTTACAGTAATGGAATTAGTAAGCTTGTTAATAGATGGAAGGAAGTCATAGATAATCAGGAAAATACATTGTTGATTGAATCTGTAATTAAATGTAATATTTGGTCACTTGTTTTCTTTATTCAAAATTTGGACAGAACTTATGGGATGACCTGATACATAACCAAAACATTCATTTGAAAACTTGAGCCATGTTTCAAATAGAGTAGCCAGATCAAAACTTTCATATGCCTGTCATGCATTGCAGCAATCCTGTTAATATGTATTTAAACTCTCTGCTCTATGATCAATATTTTAAAAAGTTTTTCAAGACAATTGTTCTTCAAACCTTGTGGACTGGCACTACAGAATTGCAGACAAAGAACTGCACCAAATAAAAGAGACCATTTTCAACAATAGCAACAGCTAAAATGAATGCCACATGTAACTTGAAGAGAAAATAATGACATAATCAAGACATTGACATTCCACAGAACTTCAAACAAAAGGTTAGGAAGGAAACTTTCATCAATACTGGAAATCATGATAACACTGAACTTGAAAAACTTATTTTCCTAAATAAATTGTTTTAACAGAAAGTTTTTATGAATTTCAACTGAAAGTAGCATTGGTTGTTTGATCAATGAATGCAAAAATGTTTCCTTATAAGGCACATTCCTCCCCTTGTGATCCTTTCTCAGTTTCTCCCCCATTTTGAATTTTCATCTTGCAATTTGTTTACCATTATGCTTCTGACTTTAACAAATTATTGAAATTCCTTCCCAATAATTCTGCCCCCAGAAGCCAAGTACCACCTTTCATTTAAGAATCATAGTCTCTTGTTTTGATTCGAAAGAAAATTTCCATGCATACTAAAATAATAAGCTTGTTAATACCTACCTACTAATGGCATGTAGTTTCTTGTACTACACTTTAATTCAAGTTTAAATAATTTTCATTTTGTTTTAACCTAGAAATGTTTACTAAATGAGGAACAATCAAAACAGAAGCTGGAAATGGAAATGGTAAGCTTTATAACGTCAACAAAATACAATACTCGCCAACAGCATGAAGTAGGTAAACCACTGCTAGTGGCGGACTACTTAGACACCATATTAATCCCGTTTACAATAGTTTCCAATGTATTTATGAGGATTGGGACATATCATAGGTATGGTATATACTACATTTCCATTCATACTAATGGTTTTTGTTGATTTTAATTACTATGAAAAATTAAAAAGAAACATAAATTAACAGACATGTAGTTAAGCATTTATGTCTGTAAGATATCACTGGGGAAAATGTCTTCTTAGATTCCCAGCATCTTCCGCAGTATCCTTGGCAATCTTCAGTAATGCTTTTGTATGTTCCACAATTATTTTTTTTTTTTTTAACAATTCTATGTTCTTTAGGCACATCTTTGAAGAGCTTCAAAATGATTTAACATTGGTACCTTCTTATTTCACAATTTTTACCATTTTTCTAAGGTGTGTTTGTGCTGGTGTGGAGTAAGTACAAGTTGATACTTTTCCAAAGTAGAGGTAAAAAAGGATATATAATCAGAATCTCAGTAACACTCGTACATAAGCACCCATGAATAATGATTTCTTTTATACATAGGAACATAAAGTTAGGCATGTATAAAACTAATGGAATTACTAGAAGAGAAATGAATATTTCCACTTTGCATTTCCTCTATTGATACACAGAATCATATACTAACATTTACGCTTGTCCTACACAAAGAAACTATAACAAATATATACA